GGATCCACCAGGTGAGACCTCACCTGCAGAACATTGACAATGTGCCTTTGCTGGTGCCTCTCTTTACGGATTGCACCTCAGAGAGTAAGTGACCACTAGGCTGAGTTTGTCCTGCACATCAGCTGTCAAACACCTTCTCCAGCCAGTTGCTGAGATTCATGAGAGCATAGAAGGGGTGGGGAGACCCTGCAGAAAACTGGGAAGGGAATTCTGGGTGGATGAGCCTCCATAGCAGTCTTGTGTGGTGATGGTCAGATCCTGTTCCATTTTGTAGTCCATGGAAATTTCACCATTGACTTGCTGTGGTGAGCACAACCTCTGAGAAACTCTCCCTGCTATTAGCTTCAATAGCAGTTATAGAAGTGAGTGTCTACAATATTGCTGTCCATTACTTAATAATAAGTGTTAGCAACTTGGAAGCTTTGGTCTCTCTCCTTGCAGTGATCGTTTGCTGACATGGCTCAGAAACCACTTTCCTGAAGTAAATTCCTATGGTGGCAGGTGCTATTAGTGATATCTGAGTGCCACTAGCTTTCTGTACGACTCCGTTTATATCCCTTCCCTTCTCAGTGCCTTAGTTCCTTCAGCTATAAAAAGGGGATAGTGCTGCTTGTGATTGTGAGTAAAGGAACTAAGTTTTGCATGAAAGTCACTATTTAAGTGGAAACTCCTTATTTTAAATGATCTCCCAGATATTTTTTAACGAGGACTTTTTGCTCTGCAGCCAAGTCCGTGCTATAATTGCAAGCCCAAGGAATGGTTCCTCTGGCTCTTCCATCCCCGTCACCCATCCATCCTCCTCCCTTCCTTTCATCTTCAGGCAGGTGCACAGGGTGCCATGAGAGCAGTTATTTCTTTCCAAGGGATATAGGCTGAGCTGGGATTAGATCACAAGCTCCTGTCCTGAAAGCTTAGTGAAGTGAGAGTAGGACTTTTGCCTTCCCTTTATTGGAGGCTGGCTCATAGAACTTCCTGGTGGGTGAATGCAGTGTGGGAAGAAGAGGGTTTGTATGAACAATTCAAATAGGTCTGTTCTGGAGGGTCTGTTTTTGATGTTGGCTTATAATTCATTGGGGAATTCCTAGTAAATGTGAAGAGCAATATCTTTTAACCTCGGATTGTATATTTTAAAGGTCAGAAAGCTGAAGGGCTTAGCCTTTCTTGCCTGAGGGACCTCAGTTTCAAAGAGCAGTCTTGAGGCTGTTGATTGAATAACCTTTCACAGGTTTAACTGTCTGCCTTCAGAAATGAAAATCCGGGGCAGAGGCGATTTAAAGCGTGCTGGTGTCAGTACATGCTGTGATAAGGCATTAAGTCTTCCTTTGTCATTCTCTTGCAGCCATGTGCGAGATGATCAAGATCATGCAGGAGTACGGAGAGGTGACCTGCTGTCTGGGGAGCTCTGCCAACCTGCGGAACAGCTGCCTCTTCTTGCAGAGTGACATCAGGTGGGAAAGCCAGGTCTGGACTCCTCAGGCTGCCTGGTGGTGGGCAGTGCAGCACTGGATGTGTGCGAGGAAATCACACAAGCCTGTTTTTTCTTCTATGAGAGGTTTTTGAAGCCACCTGTTTTAGGGTGGGGTGATTGCTCATGTCGTCTTCTAATGATACCAATGAATTTAATAATGTAGCTTAGTTTGTGGGAATAAATTATTTGGAAAGGGAGTTAGACCCACATTTTAGAGGTGTGTGCGGAAAGCACCTGATCTGCACTATACAGGTCCGGCTCGTGTGCAAATTTCCACACTTCCACGCTTACTTTTGCACATGTGTTTTACAAAGAATTGGAGAACTTCTTTGTATAAATGTTGCAAACATAGATGCATATGGTTAGCTGGGTGTCTGTATATAAATGTTCTATCTGAATAGAGGCCAGATATCGGTGTGTTCCACAAGAAATGCACTTGTTAAGTGTTTGTTATGGACACTTTTAAAAAGGGGCCTAAAGGATATAAGAGCATTCTGGTTTTAAACACTACACATAAAGGGTAAAATTGACTACAATCGTTTTTGAAAATTAGTAATATGCTTTGTTTTTATATCAATGTTCTTGCCCCACTTGTTCCTTTTGTGCACATGCCATGATGTCTCCAAGGTAAAATTACAATATTTTATCTACTCCTTTGTTTAGGTAAACTTATTAAACCCATGAGAGACATTTTGGGCATAATCTATCCGCATTATTACTTGTGTACTTTGCCCGAGTCATGTTAGACATTGATAGTATCAAGGATCATTTCCAGGGGCGCATAGTGCATCACTTTCTCATTTGGCAGTCAGTAAATTTGCATTGCTTCTATGGAATGAAAGATTGACCAATGATTCCAAGAGAACCAGGCTGTCACACTGTGTGTGCTGGACTGTATTTGTCATTGGCTGATCTGCCTCTCACCATAATGAGTCAGATCAGTTATAAACTGACCTCAAAATGGTGCAGAGGTGAAGCGTGATCTTGGATCATCACACCCCACACCGTCAAGGAGCCTGATTTTCAGAAAGTGCTGGGCTCCTAACTCCTATAAACCAGATTGGAGGCCCCCCGAAGAGGGGCATCCAAAATCATTAGTCACTTCTGAAATTCTTGGTGTTAATTGAAAACCAGTGCTACTTGTGTTCCTAAATCCATTAGGCACTTTTGAAACGCCCACAGTGAGCCATGGGTGATGTATCTACAACATGTAGTGTGTGAATATACATGCTGTGTACTTGACCTTTAGTACATACATGATTTTCTTCCCATGTGGTGATGCCTTCCTTACCATTGCACTGTTGTCTGTGCAGCATCGCGTTGAATCCTCTCTATCCATCCCGCTGCTCCTGGGAGACTTTCGGCTACACCACAAGCACTAACATGACACAAGTCTCCGATGACCTTACACCCCTGCAGCTCTCAGGCCATCTCAATAGCTTGCCCTGCTCCTTGTCCTTCCACCAGGAAGAGAGCATCAGCATCATCCGACTTATAGAACAGGTGAGTCGGCTGTCTTCGCCCTTTGGCTCACGGAAGGTCCATGTATCCAGAGTGACAGCCACACTATGAAGGTCTCCAGTCGTAATAATCCTACCTGTCTGTCATGAAGAGTGCTGCAGGAGTCTCATTTGGCCAGTGATTAGGCCTCCCATTCAGCTTTTTTAGCCCTTGTCCACAGCACACTCTGCTGGTACCAGTTGACCTTTGCTTGGCCAGTGTTGGGGAGATACTGTACTTCCTGGCTTCTCCCTTTCCCGTGAAGCATGTCAGACACGGGAGAGCCAGGCAGTCAGTCTGAGACTCACTGCACATAGGCAAAGTGAGTGTAAAAGCTTTGCTACTCAGAGATGCACAGGCCTGTGGGAGGAGGGAATGCCTTGCAGTACCAGTATCCATGGGTAAGGAGCGTGCCTACACAGCTCTTTGGCTGGAAGAGCCTTTATTGCAAGCTTGGCATTAAATTGGGAAAGGCCAGGATGTTTGCAGAGGTTCAGTTTCAGGCTTAATTTTGCATCTCCAACCCCACCATTCCCCACCGCTGGGCTGGAGACCCCCTGGCTTGTCCCACACCATGTTTAACTCCTCTCCCTTCCCATCCTCTCCATATGACCCAGAGACTCTGCCTCAGCCACCCAGAATATTTCCGGGAGGTTGTCACTGCATGGCTGCTTCATGCCAGGTGAGCGTAAGCCCCCCGTGGGCTCCTTGCAGCAGTACCCTCCCAGTGATTGCCACGTAGGGGCTTGTGCTTTCTTGCAGGCCAGGCATGCGACATACGGGATCCGCAAGTGTTTCCTCTTCCTGTTGCAGTGCCAGCTCATGCTGGTGGTCATTCAGGTGAGCCCCCTGCCCTTGTGTTGCTTAGGGGAGGAAAGCTGGGGGATGCGAGGGTGAAATCCAGCAGGTGGGTCAGCTCTGGAAAGATGGGGTCTGGCATTCACCAGGGTTTATACTGCTCTTGTGTATCCAGTATGCTTGTTTCAGTTACACACGTTGCTGGTTGAACATAATCCTATAAATGAATACACTTTGGTGAGAGCAGTTACTGTGCTAGCTACAATAGGACTCTGGTTGCCTCATGGTCTAGTCCAGGGGTGGGCAGTAATTTTTGTGGGGGGCTACTCCAAGAAAGTGGTCAGGGGCTGCACTTTTCTGTGGAGGGGACGTGGGGTCTGGGATGGAGATTGGGTGCAGAAGGGTGCACAGGGTAAGGGACTGCCAGGAGACGGTGTGAGGTCTGAGAGGGAATTTGGGTGGAGGAGGGGGTTGTGACTATAGAGCCAGGGAGGGAGTATGGGTGCAGGAGAGGTTTCTGATCTGGGGGAGGGGCTCTAGCAGGGGGTGCAGAGTCTGGGAGGGAATTGTGACCTGGGAGAAAGGGAGGGGGGGGGGGGGG